GAAGAGGAAAATGGGATGAAAAGACAGGATCACGAGTGACATCAAAGCAAAATATTTGAGTGCTGAAGAAGTGAATAACAGAACTGGGTGGAGAAGACTAGTCAGGAATAGCAACCCCTTATAGGAACGGGACACAGCTGCAGTAAAAGAATATATTTAAACCAACAAACAAATTATAAAAAAAAAATATATATATATAAATAAATAATTGAATGCCAATGATATATGAAAATGGGAAGGGAAAATAAAAGAAACAGAAACATGAGTAAATACTCAAAAGAGAAATGAAAAAACTAAAAACCTCAAATAAACTCTATCATAACCTTATAAACCATGCTTAGCCCCAAGCCACCAGTGATTTCATGTACATACATGCCATGTCCACTGTGAGTTTAATCCATTGATTGTTTTTACGCATATACGGGTCCGCAAGTACTAAGTCGCCAACGAGCCAATTACGAGTATTACCTGTCTCACCTGTTTACCCTTTTCCTTGAAATTATTTTCTGGTATCAAATATTGCTATTAGTGACGTCAATAACATTATAATAGTTATACAGTCTGTAACAAAAATAACAAGCTCACTATTTAAAGCATTAGTAAATGAAGACTTTTTCCTACAAAGTCAGGGAAAGGTGAAATCAGGTGAGGTCACAAGGTCTATTAATTGACTCCTTTGTGGCTAAGCACTTGCTGAGCCATCTATGTATTGATTTTCCTGGTGCTTTTAGGTTAGTAGCTCAAACTTACCTAACTCTTTCTCTCTCCTAATGTAGAGCATGAACCCCAGGAGTCCTGACCCCACGATGCCAGTGAACAGGAGGGACTTCCATGTGATTGGCCCCTTCCCTTTTGTGACATCTTCTCTCCTCGGGGGCTGGCTGGGAGGGGGTGTAGAAAAAGTTCTTGTGGTTCTAAGAAGGGTTAGTGATGGCTGGGGATGCCTCTGAAAATGAGTGAGAAGTTTAAGAAATGTCCTTAGCTGAAAGGGTCATTGTACAATATTTTCTTCAAAATATTTTCTTTATGCTACTCTCTGTTGGGTCTGAAGGCAACCACTATCCCTTTACATACATTGCATCCAGCAGATGAGCAAACTAACAAAACCCCATAGCTTGCATTTCTATTTTATTAACCCAGTGCTACCGGGCATAGCATGTACATGCATGCCATGCCCACTGTGAGTTTACTTAATCTATTTTTTTACACAAAGATGGCTACACTTGTACCAAGGCACCAATGAGCCAATTACGAGTACTGCCTGTCTCACCCATGTACCCTTTTCCTTGATTTACAAAAATATTTCACATGATCTTATTTTGCTTATTATAGTAATTATAATGTCTATGATAAAAATAACACCATTGATATTCATATCATTAATAATAAAAAAAAAATCCCAGCAATTCAAGGACAAGTGAAATCAGGTGAGGTTACAAGGTCTACTAATTGATTCCTTTGTGGCTAAGCACAAGCATTTTCACAAAAAAATGAGCACAGCATTTTCCTGGTAGCACTGGGTTAAGCAGAAAAAAAAGCACTCAATACATTTTGTGGTAAATGAAACTAAGACAACTGCACCCAATTTTAGTCTTATTTTCCACTTATCCCCTTTAATCTTGGCCATTAAAGGAATATTTAGCTCTTAACTACTTTACTAGGGATATGCAGAACCATCTGGCATTCGTAGGAGCTAACAGTATTGCTTACATTCAAGATGCTTCGAGAAAACAAAGTTTGTAATTTACAAACTTTACCAGCATCTATAAACACTAGTCTACAAACCTATGATATTTCCATGCCCTCTCATAAGAGCCGGGGAGGGTATGAAGTTACCAGGGAAAGTGCAGAGTAAAATATGAATAACATACACCAAAGCCATCACTATACTAATATTGTATTATGCTGCTTTGAATAACTATTGATCAATTATCTGTACATTATTGGTATTTTACCTCGCAAATCCCCTGGTACCATTAATGCCTCCCCTTGCTGTCAGGACCACGATTGCGGGTATTGGAGGAATTTCCAGGGCATAGTTTCTATATATATAGGTAGTCGTGAGGGAGAGGAATCCATCGTCGTCATCGGCAATGCGAATAGTTACCGGTGAGGGGATGGGGTTGCTGCCAACTCACAAAATGAAGCTTTGTACAAAATATGAACACCAGATTCTTTCAGAACACATCATACTACATGAAGAGAACTGGAAATTTGGCAGTAATACTATAATTACCATAAACGATAAAATGACCTAACACAAGACAGGTTCATTTTTCAATATAAGGAAGCAAAGAATGACACATTGACGTACACACTTGTTTATAACTCACCTGTATCACCTGTAAGCACCTCCTAGCCTGAACACCTGTCAATGTCCTCATCAAGACAGGTAGATGAGAAGACCCAATCATTATTCCTTGTATTACTAAATGAATAAAAAGGGTTTCGGCTTCTGCGATTTCGAGATTTGCGAGTCTTCTGCTTACATCACTCGGCA